AAAAAAAAAAAAAAAGAAAGGCCATGCTTGCCTTGTGAGAAAATATGATTGACCCATAAAAAGTGTTAAGTTAATATGCACTTAGTAAACAAGTAAGTGAAGGGAGGTGGGCATACTGTACCTCTCTTAGAATTTAGGATTATTCTGTCACCATGACTCATTAACCTAAAAGAAGGAAGTAGAAAATGCAAACTCATGTTCAAATGTATAAGATTATCTAACTCATTAAAATTGCAAGGAAATCACCAGTGAGCTTTTGAGAACGCTTAATAGTATTTATCAGAGCGACTGGATGATACACCTTCCGAAAAGTCAGCAGCCTTCTGACTCTACAGCAGGACACTAAAATGACCTCAGAGTCACCACAATGTGAATTTCACATCAACTATTGATCACAGTGGCCAAAACAAAGTTAATTCCCATATCCTGTGTAGTAACAGTAACAGTAGAAACAATGATTATGGTACACAATATTTGTTTCCCTGTTTTGATTATCTATCAGTACCAGGGATATGAAAAAAAGGTATTACAATGTCAAATGGGAAAAATGGATCACGTATGTTCCACCAAACTACTTCTGAGACTGGAAGATTAAATATAATTCATCTCACTAACATTTTTTCTCTTTCCTTGATGCCTCACATACAGAGCAACACACACACACACGCTACAAAACAAAGAAAAATGACCCCCAAATCTCCAGAGGAATACAGAGGCAATTGTGTCCTACTGCAGTAGGATTTCAGAAAGGAAAAAAAAAAAATAGGGTCATTACATCATAATATCATTACACCATTGACCATTTTTCTCTGTGAGCATCTCTCGGTGTGTGTTTGTGTGTGTCAGTGGACCTTATTTATGTCAGGATTTTGCAGTTATGACCTGAATTCTACACATCAATTTTTTTTCTGGGCAAGAAACAAAACTGTTTAATATGCAGATGGCATGACCATCTATGTAGAAATTTTTGAGGCATATGGAAAAAAAACAGCTAGAACTAGTAAGTGAATTTGGTGAAGTCAGGATATAGGTCAATATATAAAAATCAATAACTTTTTTTTATGTTCAGTTAACCACCTGTAGTACAAAATGAGTCCTTGAAGCAATGTTCAACGATTCATTAGTTCAGTGTAACACCCTGTGCTCATCACAGTGCGTGCCCTCCCCAATGCCCATCACCCAGTTACCCCCCTCCCCCCACCCCTCTGAAACCCCCAGTTTGTTTCCCCGGAGTCCAGAGCTTCTCTGATTTCCCCCTCTTTGGATTTTCCTCCCTTTCCCTACGACCCTCCACCCTCCGTGCTATTGCTTATGTTTTACATATGAGTGACACCATATGATCATTGTCTTTCTCTGCCTGCCTTACCTCACTTAACAAAATCCCCTCCAGTCCCATCCATGTCGATGCAGATGGTGGGTGTCCATCCTTCCTGATGGCTGAGGAATATTCCTTTGTACATATGGACCACATCTTCTTTATCCATTCGTCTCTTGAAGGACATCTCAGCTCTTTCCATAGTTTGGCTATTCTGGACATTGCTGCTATGAACATTGGGGTGTATGTGCCCCCTTCGGATCACTACATCTGTATCTTTAGGGTAAATACCCAGTAGTGCAATTGCTGGGTCATAGCGTAGCTCTATTTTCAACTTTTTGAGGAACCTCCATGCTGTTTTCCAGAGTGGCTGCACCAGCTTGCATTCCCACCAACAGTGCAGGAGGCTCCCCTTTCTCTGCATCCTCTCCAGCATCTGTCATTTCCTGACTTGTTAATTTTAGCCATTCTGACTGCTGTGAGGTGGGATCTCATTGTGGTTGTGATTTATATTTCCCTGATGCTGAGTGACGTTGAGCACTTTTTTGTGTGTCGTGTGCCTCATATGCCTCAGAAATTTCTACATAGATGGTCATGCCATCTGCATATTAAACAGTTTTGTTTCTTGCCCAGAAAGAAAATTGATGTGTAGAATTCAGGTCATAACTTCAAAATCCTGTTGGCCATTTGGATGTCTTTTTCGGACAGATATCTGCTCATTATGATGTAATTTTTGTTTTAGGTGACATCCAGGTAATGAGGGATTTTTGTTTGGATGATAAAAATCCAGGGCAGGGGGCGGGGAAGAAACATGAAAAAGAGACCAGACTGACTTTAAAATTTAAACTTAATCATTGAAAGATTAAGGGAGTAAATCAAGTGTCAATGATTAGATCAAGGTGCAAGCCATTAACTTGGCTTGTACTCCATTCTGCTGCGGTGACGTGCCTGACACTATGATTTCATGTTGGCAGTGAAGCCACGGGGCCAGCTTTCCCAAGCAGTTGTCTCAACACGGCCGGCAAAGAACAGCACAGCGCTGCAGAGCCTGACTCTGGGAGGGTGTGCTGACAGCCCCAGGCGGAGGAATGATCGTCATGGGGCCACAGGAAGGCTCTGATCGGAAGGAACAGTCAGGGGGCCGTGCCTTCCTTGGAGTTTCGCCAGATCAAACATAATTAAAGTATCTCCAGGCAGAAGGAACAGTGGGACATTACGTACCTGAGAGTTTAAACCGCAGTGATTTGAAATAGCCTTGTGAAGAGTGGGTCATCAGGACGGCCCCAGGCCCCAGCCGACATAAAGGTTTGCTAAACAGAGCGGTCCTGGTATCTGAGGAGTCCTGGACCTCTGGAGGGGGTTTGAGAAAGCAGGATGGAGGCAGGAATTCTGCATCAGAACAGGGAAGCACAAGGGGGCCACCTGGGGAACGGCTGGGAGTGGACCCAAATCAGGCGTTAGAGTCCCTTCATGTACCAGACGTTGTTAGACGTCCCAGCGATGTCACTCACAAAGCAGATCCTGTCCAGGCTCTTTACACAGGGAGGATCCAGGACAAAATAAGTAGGAAAATAGCTAACAAAAAGCAAACCTCAACTTTCACTGGGAAGATATATGTATTTTATAGTTTTATTTCTGAGCTGAATTTCAAAATATTTTTTAAAGATTTTATTTATTGGGGCGCCTGGGTGGCTCTGTCGTTAAGCTCTGCCTTCAGCTCAAGTCATGATCCCAGGATCCTGGGATCGAGCCCCGCATCGGGCTCCATGCTCAGCGGGAAGCCTGGTTCTCCCTCTCCCTCTGCCCCTGCTTGTGTTCCCTCTCTCGCTGTGTCTCTCTCTGTCAAATACATAAATAAAATCTTGAAGAAGTAACACTTTCATGATACAATTACCTCCTTTGTTTGTGGTGGCCTCTCTGACGTGTGAGAAAAGTCCCACTAAAGAGAGTGTGAACTCTGATGGGATTAGGGAGGGTGTGGGCAGGGAGGCCTCCCTAATAAAAACCACTCCTGGGGAGCTCACTTCAGAACTGCCGTCAGAGGGAGAACGGGGGCCAGAGCAGGACTGAGGTGAGTGCAACCCCACAGTTTCTTTCGCTTTTTTCAAATGTCTGCAACCACCTGCAAACACAGAGGACAAACGGGTGGGTGGCTGCCAGAGGGGAGGCGGAGGGGCGCGGTCAGACTGGGGGAAGGGGGGTGGGAGGTGCAGGCATCCTGAGGTGGAATGAGTCTCGGGGAGGAAAGGCACAGCCTGGGGAACACGGTCAGTGGTACAGCACAGACCCTCTCAGCACCTCGCCTGGAGCCAGACAGTGGGTCCCGTCCTTCACTCCAACCAGCATCAGAAGCCCTGGGCCATGAGTCCTGCTTGCCCGGATGCAAACCGGTTGTAGGGACAGCAAATGACAGGGGCCCAAGGCCTGATGTCCCTCTGCCTCCCGGAAGGTCTCACTTGCCTTTCCCCACACAGTGGTCATGGCCGCACACTTGCAAGAGACAAGCAGGTGTCCTGTGTGCCTGACTTACCTGGAGGCGCCCGTGTACCTGAAGTGTGGCTTCGCCTGCTGCCTCCGCTGCTTCGACTCCCTGCAGAGGGAGCCCGGCGGGGAGGGTTTCCAGTGTCCCTCCTGCTCCGCACTCTCTCGGAGGAAGGACCTCAGGCCAGGCACTCATCTTGGGAGGCTGGTCTCCAGGATCAGGGAGTTGGAGCCCCAGCTGAAAGCCGTTCTGCACATGAACCCAAACGTGCACAAGTTCCAAGGTACGGCCTGCCCGCCCCCCCGCAAGGTTCCCGGAAAACGCACCTTGCCTACAGCTCTCCATCGCACAAGGGCATGGGCGGCAACGTTGATCTTTGCTTTACTTACCCAGAAGTATAGATTAGAACTGCCTATAAGAAGGGAAGCTTGTCCCTGACCTGCAGCTAAGAGAAATCACACCTGACTCTCTCACATCCCCGAGTTAGGGTGCTTTCTCCCAGCTCAGCTGCACGGCTCACGGGCTCAAGGAGGCCAGACGGGACCTCCCAGCCCCCCTGGAGCCGGCGGAGTCCTTGCTCCTTCTGGCTCTGTCCCCGCTCTCCTATGATGGGTCCTGAAGAGCGGTGGGTCCCTTGGTCTGAAGGGCATGTGAGCAGTCCAGTGTCCTTGTGAAGGACAGGCGTTGCCTTGTGTTCTGAGCGCACTCTAGCTCCATGCAACTCGAATTTGGGATGGTGAACCCTGTCCCTGAAACGTGACAAGTCTTGTCAAGGCCCCTGGGATGGTCGAAAAGGGAGCATCTTCCACAGAGCTGGGTGTCAGGGCGCCAAGTGAAAGAGTTGGTCCAGAGGGCTTCTTTGGTTTTGTGTGTGTGTGTGTGTGTGTGTGTGTGTGTGTGTTTGCTTAAGATTTTATTTATTTGACAGAGAGAGCGAGAGGGAACACAAGCAGTGGGAAAGGGAGAAGCAGGCTTCCCGCTAAGCAGGGAGCCAGATGCAGGACTCGATCCCAGGAGCCTGGGATCATAACCTGAGCTGAAGGGAGCCGCTTAACGACCGAGCCGCCCAGATGCCCCCAGAGGGTTTATTTCTGATGTTGTGTTGGCTCCATCCACGTGGTCCCCTTAGGATAGCCTCCTGGTGTGTAGGCAACCCACAAAGTCCCTGTGCTCCCATCTCCCTGCCCTCTGAGCCATGCCCTGCGGCTAAGTCACTGCCAGACCCCAGCATACCCCCACTCATGTCCCTGGGGGCCCTTCCTCAGCCTGGGCTGCCCAGAGCTCACCCGGCTCCTCTCAGGACCCCCAGCCTTGTGTGTTTGCAACCCCAGGAAGCCAAGGGCTGGGGTGCATTTGCCTGTTAACAGCAGGAACCGAGGAAGGTCATTGACAAGAACAAAGATGGGAGCAACTTCCGGATCCAACGTTCTGCGCCAAGTGTAATAGTGGCCACCGTTCACATACTCGCCGGGTGCCCGTTTGTCAATGGAAAGCGAACTGGTTTGCATGTTGACAACAAACACGGTCACGGTCTCCTCATGTGTAATCTGTGCCAAAGGAAGGAGCACCTGTAATCTAACAGCACTTAATGTGGAAGAGCACCTAGTAGGAGTCAGAGGGACTCGTCCTGATTAGGATCGTTCTCTCTCTACATTTGACCTTATCAGGGGCCAGGGACATCTCCCCAGGGAAGTTCTGATCAGGGAGGAAGCACAGGGTGGAGAGAAGATGGGTGAGACCTTGGGGCTTCGCAGTCGAGTGCATGTTTGCTGATTGGCTTGTTTTCCCTCCCCAGTGGAGGTGACCCTGGATGTTGACACCGCCAACCACTACCTCATCGTTTCTGAGGACCTGAGGAGTGTCCGCTGTGGGTATTCCAAACAGACCCGGAGCGCCGGGGCCCAGAGGTTCGACTATGCCCTCTGCGTCCTGGGCTCCCCTGGGTTCCCCTCTGGCCGCCACTACTGGGAGGTGGACGTGGGGATGAGCAAGGCATGGGACGTGGGTGTTTGCCGAGACTCCGCTGACCGACAAGGGCCCATTCTACTGTCCGAAGAGCTTGGCTTCTGGACGGTGGGCTTGAGAAAAGGAGATCTCTTCCGAGCCAGCACCGGGCCTGTGACCGTGCTCTCGGTGAGCCCCCGCTTACACCGAATAGGGGTTTTCCTGGACATGGGTCTTGGCACCGTTTCTTTTTATCACGTGAGCGATGGAGCCCACATTTTCACCTTCACTGGAATCCCTGCTGTGGGGCCGCTGCGTCCGTTTTTTGCTCCCGGGAGTCCCACCACGGATGGTCAAGGCTTCCTGAGAATCTGTCCCCTGAGGAACCCAGCTGTTGCTAGTCGCTCTCCAGTGGGCTCAGATACAGAACACAGTTTCTAGAGAATTCCCGTGTGCGCACAGTGGGCGCCGGGACCCTCTGCTTGTTCCTGTGGGCGGTACAGAGGGCAGACGAGACACGTGGTAGCGCTGGCGAATCGTGAGCACTAACCAGCCGAGGGAGAAGCGCCTTTAAAACATGAAGTATCGCACATTCGTTCCCGTTGGGACCTTCCACGTTTCTGTTCCAATGAATGGGTTCTGGTTTTTCAAATCAATCTCCAAATATGTCTATTTTCTGCAATATTAACTTAGTGTTAATGGAGGTTAGAAGCTGAATAAAAACGTGGATGTGGCCTAACGGATTAATGGACTTTCTAGGTGATATGTGAGCAAAACCTACAGAGACAGTAAATACGTGTGAGTACGTAGGAAGTTCCCCCAAGGGCTGAAATGCACGTTCATGTGCACACCATGTGGAACGCGGGAAGAATGTGGCAGGGCAGTCGGGGGTGGCTTCCATTGAATGGGGGTGCAGCCTAGCACCACAGGTGTGCCCCCTTAAAGCAAGAGATACCCCCTCGTGCAGTGTGTCAGTGCAGGGGGCCGCGGAGGGGGGCTGTCCCAGGGGTGGGAGCGACGGGCCTGCCGTCGCCAGGACAAGGGGCCGCAGGGAGCCAGCAGGGAGCCACCCCTTCTTAGTCCAGTGGTGACCACATTGGGCTAGGGAGCCCGGTGGTGTCTACCACCCCTACATCAGGCTGCCTTTGTAGGTGGAAACTGCCCTAGAGCATATGGAAACATGGGGCCGTGTTCCATTAAAACTTTATTTACAAAAATCAGCAGGCAGCCAGACCCTGGCTGGCCCACCTCAACCTGGGCGTCAGGCGCCCACTGCCAGCGGGTTCGCAGCCCAGCGCCGGTGTGTGCGCAGAAAGCGAAGAAGGAGCGAGGGGTCCGACGTGCAGGGCTGGGCCGCACGGGGGCCACGCCGGAAGACATTCTGCACGGAGGGCAGACCGAGTTCTCAAGGGAAGGTGAGGCAGAGGCTGGCTAAGACAGGTGAGCAGAGGGCACACGAAGGCGTGCGAGACAGGCCAGGCTGGAGCAGGGGGCCGCGCGCGCAGGCGCACTGCGGTGCTTAGAAGTGGCGCGCGCCAGCGGGGTGTGGGCGGGCAGGCTTGCGGGCTGGGGTCCCGCCCTGCAAGCACAGAGGGTGGGGGGGCTTCGTCTCCAGTGCCACAGGCCGGTCGCAGGCCCACGCGCTCCCCTGACCAGACCCCGGCCATCCTGCCCCTGCAGCCCTGGGGCCCTGCAGACACACCCACGACGGGGCAGTCGGAGCAGCTCAGTGGAGCCCAGCGAGCCCCAGCCCGGGGCAGGGACATTTGGATGGCTGCACTCCTTCAGCATGGATCACAAGGGGTCACTGCAAACGCAGGCGCTACTGAGACGTGGTGGCCCGCAGCTTCTGGACAGACGAAGGAGCACAGGGACAAAGGGCGTTTGGAGCCCAGGGGACTCATGCCGAAGGAAGGGAAAGGAACCGGCCCCAGAGCGAATGCTGACACGGGCGACAAGGAAAGAAAGGTGGACCATCACAGCCTTCCCAGAGAGCGAACCCAGGTCTGAGTTAGGGGCTGCTTCGGTGTCTTTCCAAAGGAAGTGGAAGAAGGGCCCACAGGGCTCCCAGAAGAAAAGCACCACAGGGTGCAGTGCTGACCCGGCCACCCTGTGCCGCCCCCTGACCCCGGCCACGGCCCCCGCGCCCTCCCAGGTCAGCCTGGGAAACACTTCCTGCAAGTCCCCAGTGCCCCCAGGCACTTCCTTCTCTGGGTGGGGGGGCTGCCGTTCTCCCCTCCGTCCACCCCCAAAATCCTACAGTCTCCCCCATCTGCAGGAAGGAGCCCACACTGACCCCCGTCCCCACCACTGGACAGTAGGGACACAAGTCCCACCGCCCTTCGTCTGAGCTCCCACTCTGCCATATGTCTCAGCACCCCCCCCAAGACTGTGCTGGGGCTCACAAGCCACACTCTCAAGTGGGCCACCTCCTTGGGGAGACACGTCAGCCCTCGCCACCCCAAGACAGGGAACCACTGGGTGTGGATCAGTGATCACCCAAGGCCACCTATCAACCCCGGCCAATAGGTGGCCCTGGGCTCCAGCAGAAGTGGCCACCAGTTTCTCAGGACCGCTGGCTGGACAAGGGCCATGTAGGGAGCTGGGGGCGGGGGGTCGTGTGTGGGCCAGGGGTCGCATCCACTGGGACACAGCATGGCAGTGCTGTTGTGTGTCAAAGACACGCAGTTCTCACCTCGGGAGGAAGCCTAACCACAGGCTCACCCGCAGCTCACCAAGCCTGGGACGACCCCCGACCCCCACGTGCCGCCCTCCAGCCCCCACCCAACACCGCCATCAGTTCCCCAGCCCTGAGTGGGCCGTGATGCCGCCAGAGCCGGGGTGCTCCGTGGGGCCCCAGACAGCCCACCCCCAGAAGAGAAAGGCCAGGGAAATGGAGACCTCTGAGAAGACTGGAGCCTTGGGTCCCACAGCTGAGGGTCCTGTAAATCACGTATGGGAACTTGGGGGAGCCACACCCGTGAGAATTGCCATTTATTCCCGAAGTCGCCGAAATTATCACCAAGGATTCACCAGGGGGTGTGCATGGGGACAAGAAGGCTCAAACACTGATTGAGGGGCCAGTTGGGAGGGAGAGGGATGGTGGGGGGACCCCCGGCTGTCCCTCCCCTCTCTAATGCCACAGGAAAAGGGTCCTCCTCTGGCCAGCACCCCTCCCCATCTCCCATGTCCAGTTTCTCTCCGGGGAGGTGGGGCGGGGGGACATGGAAGAGGGTGTAGTGTGAGTGGGCCCCAGGAGGGGGAGGGTGCTGGGGTTAGGGCGGGGGTCCCCCGCTTCACATGCACTCACAACACTGGTCTCCCAGGGAGCAGAAATGGGGGAAGCCAGGCCAGGCCAAATTCCCCCCCCCCTCCTGGATTATAGGAGGAAGGGATTAGTGTTGGGGGCCGGGGGGCCTGGGGGCATCATGGGGGGCAGGCCAGGGCCCCCACCAAGGGGAGAGATGTATGTTGGTGGTGCTCCAGGGACTGGGGGCACAGGGCTGAGCCGGAGCTGGTTCAGGGTGAGCGTCGCAGGGGGTGCGGGCTGGAAGGGGTTTGTGATGGAGGGGCCGGAGGTCGGGGCTCCTAGAGGAGAGAAAGGAGAGGAGACACGCAGAGCAGAGTCAGGGCTCGGCCCGGGGAGGAGGTGTTCGAGCGGGACCGGCCTGGGAGGCCCCCACTTACCACTTGGCAGGAAGGGGTTGGAGGCCTTGGCTCCTGGGGGCGCAGGGCCCGGCCGGCTCACCAGCGAGTCCAGGTCGACCAGGGCTGCATTAGGGCCCAGGAAGGACTCCGGAGTCTTCCGTGTGGGCGGTGGCGGCGTTGGAGCAGCTGCAGGTGGGGGGCTGCCCACAGCCTCAGCCAGAGAACCCCCGACCCCACTCATGTCGAACGCCCCAGGACTGCGGGCGGGCACCTCTCCGGCGAGCAGTTCCAGCTCCCCTAGGAGGAGCCAGAGAGGGAGTCAGGGGAAGACGGGCGTGAGGGCCTCAAACAAGGAGGCCTTGGTGCTGAGAGGCAGAGCCCAGGAACACTAGCCCAAGGAACAACAGCGGATGACCCCCAGGGCAGAGTGCCAAGGAGAACCACCAAGGGACAAGTGTACCCAAGGGTGCTCACATGGCCCCACAAGAACCACACCAGTCCCACGGTCCCAAGCAGCAAGTTCACGGTGGACAGACAACAGCAGGCACCAAGGAGCCCGGCAGCCTGGATGACATTCGTTAGCACGAGATCTGATTTTCTTAAAGAGAGGTTTAGGAACCCCATCTAACGTCGGGAGACGCACGGACTGGTGCCGAGAAGAGAGGAAATGGCCCAGAGGAACGCCAGCTGCGGACCGCACAGTGACCAAGGTGGGCCTGGGGGCCGGGAGGGGATCGCTGGTGCCCATCAGTCCCACGTCTTCCTGCGGGCCCACGTCACTCAAAGACCAACACGGAAAAGAAACACAGGGACCACACTCCTGTGGGAGGAGACAGCAGGCCCCTCCTGGTGAGAGGCTCCCGTGTCCTCCTGGCACCTCGCAGGGAGGCGTCTTCTAGCGAGGACAGAGCCAGCCTGGACCCTGCCAGGAGGAGGATGCACAAAAGCCAGGACGCCCACAGGCCAGGGACCCCGTGGAACGCCCCAGGACTGGTCTCCCAGGGACCCCGTGGATGGGAGGGCCTGGCAGGAAAGATGCGCTGAGCCCTGAGGCCCCAAAGGGCAGCCAAGGAAGGCGACACTCGCCAGAGCCCCTGCGATCACCACACCGCTGGTGACCCAGGGTGCAACTGGCTGGGCCCTTGAGACACCAGAGAAATGTTCCAGGGGACAGAGAAATCAGGTCAGCGCGCGGGGAGGCTCCAGAATCGGAACTCTTTGCACTATTCTTGCGACTTTCCTCAAGTATAAAACCGCTGGAAACAAAGTTAAAGCTTCTTTCCCAGCATAAACCATCCAGCTCTGAAAACACGGCCTGGGCGCTGGGTCCCGTGAGGGCTACAGTCCCCCCGCTTAACCCTGCACTCAGAAGCGCACCCACCTGACCTGGAAGGCCCCCTGCAGTGGGGGAGGGAGACCACAGGGGGGCAGGGCAGGACAGGGGGGCAGGGCAGGACATGGCGGGGATGTGGCCTGGTGACTGGGGCCTGATGGGGGCGGGGGGGGGGGGGGGGGCGGGGACCGGGGGGGGGGGACCTGGGGCGGGGGAGTGCGAGGGCAGGGGTGTGGGGGGGGTGCAGCAGGGCTCGGTGGGGGCGAGGGGGGCTCACCCGTGCTGCTCCCAGAGGCCGGCAGGGCCGTGCGCAGTCGGTCAAAATCAGAGAACTCATCAGGCTCCGTGTCAAACCCCACTGCTGTAGGGGCCCAGGGTGTCAGCTCAGCTCACTGCGGGAACCAGCCTCCCGCTCCCCCTGCACCCCCAGCACCCAGGAGACCAGACACCTCACGCTCCC